GCCTCCTCCCGCCTCCCAGGCTCCCGCCCCGGCTCCCGTCCCCGCCCCGGCGCCCGCCCCCGCCACGGCCGCCGCGCCCGCCCCCAAGAAGAGCTGGCCGAAGGCGGCCGACCGTGGGCCTCGAGGGGCTTCGGCCAAGGTTGTCGGCTCGTCCCCGGCCGTGAAGAAGCCGCGGAAGAAGCCCGCCGCCGCGGCCGCGGCTCCGCCCGCCACCGTCTCCGAACCTCCTCCCGCCGCGCACGAGGTGTTCGAGGAAATGGCAACCCCATCCTCGTTCATGGACCTCCTCCAAAACGCGGAGGTGGACCTCGGAGCTCCGCCTCTAGACCCCTTTAGGGTTGGTGACGACTTGGAGGAAAAGGAGGAAGATGAGGAGGATGAAGGGGATGACGAGGAGGAGGTGGCCGAGATAGGGGTGGAGGCATTCACCGCCGCTTCCCGCCCACACGCTCGGTCGACAAACTACACCGAGGCGGAAGATGTCCTCTTGGTTCGTGCTTGGGCAGCTGTGCGAATGGATGCTACCACCGGCACCGATCAAACCGGTAAATTGTATTGGCAAAGGATCGAGGACGTCTATTGTAGGATCAAGCCGAAGAATAGTGGGTTCATCCATCGCACTTTCCGGTCGCTTCAAGGCCGGTGGGAGTTGATCAAGCCCACTTGTTCTCGTTGGAGTGCGGCCATGGACCAAGTGAGGGATGCACCACCTAGTGGAACCGTGGAGAGTGACTATGTGAGTACATATTTCTTCACTATTTTGATTATGTGTGTGCACTATGCTATTGGTGGGTTCTTATGTGATTTATGTGTGGTTGATAGGAGAAAATTGCCGGCTTGAGGTACAAGGAGATGGCCGCTTCCAAGGGCAAGCCATTCCCATTTAAGCATGTTTGGTCAATTCTTCAAACCTTTGACAAGTGGAAGTTGAGGGATCAAGAGACCGCACCCAAGAAGTCAGCAATGCTAAGGATGGACGATAGTGAAGATGAGGAGGAGAGGAATGTGGGCAAGCCCGAGGGAAACAAGAAGGGCAAAGCTAAGGGTGAAGATGGAAGAAGAGGCGTCAAGCCTAAGGAAGAAGACGGACCACATGATGAAGGCAAGAGAGGAATTGACAACGAAGACATTGGAGATGAAGCTTCTTATCACCGAGAAGAAGAAAAGAGGTCAAGCTTGCACAAGTTGAAGCAAAACGTGAAGAAGCAAAGCGCAAGGCCGAGTTGGAGGAGAGGATGATCAAGCTCAAAGAGGCAAAGGTATGGAAAGAACTCATGGTGGAAGAGAAAGAGCACATGATGATGTCCAAGAAGGACATGGATCAAGACCAATTGCAATGGTGGAAGGACTACAAGGAGGACATCGCGGAGAGGAAGAGGATGTTCCGTGTTGCGTCCTCTACTTTTCGAGGTGACACTCCGATGAGTAGTTGTGGTGATGGCGGTGTGTACGACTCCACCGGTGCCGATGGAGATGCTTGATGGAGCCCGCTTGTGGTCTAGGAGATGGCGCCGAGGTGCAACTTTTGGTGATGGTGCCGATGAGAGGAGGAATATGATGATTCTGTGATGTAAACTATTAAAACATGCATCAATGATTGTCATTTGGTAGTTTGTTTGGAAGTTGATTGTGTTCTTGTTGTCATAAATTGTGAGATGTCAAATGATAGATTTAAAGGTTGGGGTTGAGGCAAAGACTAGAACCCTCAAATCCAACCCTTAAAGCAGTTTACGGGTTGGGTTTGAGGGTTCTAGTATTTGCCCCTGTTTTTCAACCCTTAAAAGTGTTAAAAAGTGGCACTTCTCAACCCTTAAAAGTGCTTTAAGGATTTGAGGGTTTGAGAGTTCTACTAGTAATGCTCTTAGTCATTCATGATAATTACTGTACCAACTGAGTCAAACAATTACAGATCCAAGGTTCATAATAATAATAATAAAGTTCAGAATTTTAGCTGGAACCTTACCCCTCAATCCCTCTTCTCTGATAATTTCGTACTCCCTAATTAAAATCTATTATCATCTACCACGGCAAAAAATAAAAGAACTAGTATCTACAATAATGAGTACACTTGCATTGTAAATCTGGTTTCACACTTTTTCTCATATACATTTCTGTTGCAATTTCCATATACTATTAGTATGCCTATGCGGAAACGTTTTTCAAATAATAGTACTGTATAATTTAATATGCGGTACATATTGCCTAAAATGGACTATATTGTATGTACACTATTGCTAGTTGGCGTTAATGACCCTCTTTTCGGGATATAACGCTGCAACCGGCATCAAGCCATGTAATCCTCCTTCTTAAAATAAGTGTCTCTGATTTAATATAAATTTAGTAGGGAGTATGACTCAGAACTCTAGTTATTATGTTCTTCGCCATATATATCATCACCCACATAAAATGAAAGTTGAAAGAGCATATATATGCATATGAATACCAGGATCTCGGCGATGACCCTAGGCTGGCGTAGGGGCTTGAGGGCGAAGGCGAGGCCCTGCGTGATGACGAGCACGACGGCTATCTGCACCGCCAGGAGCGGCAGCGCGAAGTCCAGAGGGTTCTCTCCCTGCCACAGGCCGTCCGATGCCATCTTCACGGCCATGCTTATGCTCTACTGCTACCTAGTTCTGCACACACCCAACGGCTGCGATATGCTCTCTCAAAGAAGAACGGCTGGGATGGTAATCTTGATGCGCCTTTGTGTGTGCATGCATGCATGTGCTGGTGGCTGTGCCTTGTACTGAAATGCGCTCCCAATTTATAGGCGCGGATCGACAAGCAATCTGGCTAGCTACCCCGTGTACCTGATGATTCATTAGCTTAGTGGCCATCTCTATCATTATAAAGCGGGGGAATGGGGTGTACATTTGGACGGACGCGGGGAATGCTCAACAACTCCTGTACATGAATGAAAATTCGATACTTCCCTCTGTTGAAACGGAGCTTTAGATATATTACAGGTCAACTCTCAATCTTTTTCTTCTTCTTCTGGAAACACAGTAAAGACGCAGGTGATCACATACACACACTCACCCCTACGAACACACGCGCACAAGTCTTACCCCTATGAGCACCTCCTAGAGACGAGCCGGCATGTCTTAGGATTTACGAAGTCGCTACACATGTCTCGTAGTTGACGTCTGAAATAAATCCAAAAAAATTGCGACCATATGTGCCAAGTTTAAGACTTGAACCCGGTGGGCAGGTTTCTGCACAAGAAAGTTTGATCTCCGGTATTAGATTTGGAAACTTGAAAGAAAAATATTGTGCATACGATATCAAGAAGTATTTTTAGAGTATTAAAATTTTGCTACCCATTACTTAGTGGCCAACGATACATTTTATTGTGCAGGGAAATTTGTTAATAATAAAAAATTTGAAAAACATAATTGGAATTGTAAAACAACAATAGTGATAATAACAAATACAAATCATGACAAAGATATTAGAAAAATTGAAAAGGGGGACTTGGAAAATTGTTTAACTTCTACTTTAATTTCCTCCATTTTCTCAATATTTTATGACCATAAGTAATACTCCCTACAAAGTTGTACAAAACCAGAGACACTTATTTTAGGGCGGAGGAAATATATCTTTCCCATGTTGTATTTAAATAAATTATATATTTAAATTTATAAATTTGAATGTCCCCCCTCTAATATAGTCTTTCTTTTTTCACCTTTTTCCTTTTGTCTCCACTTTAGCTATTTATTTTATTTTTATCTAAAATTTGGACAACATAGGTTTATTTTCACATGAATATTACATCGGCGAAACAAATTGACACGTAAATGTCATGTCAGCCAAATCAAGTTGCCATGGACATTATAAGCGGTGTTTAAGAGTTGACGAGCATCTTCTAACAGGTATTGATCTCTCAAAGTAGAACCACTAAGCCTACCACAATACGGACACATGCCTGTATTATTTTTTTGAAAAAGCCTAAGATCACATCTTAAGTAACATAAAGTCTTTATCGAAAAAGGCTCTCGTCCCGCTTTATATATAAAGCAATGACCAACAATAATCCGGTACAAACACACGTCACCACAACACACGCACACACCCAAGGCAAGATACATAGGTGTTGAGCGCAGCCACACTACCCAAGCACTACAATAGCAGTCGGGGTCCTCGAACGTGAACATGTCACCGTGAAGAGAAGAAGCTGCATACGACGAACCGTGGGCTCCAAGGCGGCGCCTTCAGGAAGGATACGACACCGGAGCGCCGCCACCGCCCGACCCGAGAGTCAGAGTTTCCCCTGAAGCAATACGACGGGCAATGATGACCGCGACGACGCCTTCAAGAAGGGAACGAGCTTCGCCGCCGCCGGTCCGTCCGGAGATAGAACAGGTTTTACCCCGGCCATACTCACCGCCACCGAACGCCACACCCCGGCGACCATGCCGCCTACACGACCATGGTTACCGGGAAGCACCAAGCCACGAGCTTTGCCCAAGAGCACCGCGACACCACCATCAGGGCCGCCGCCCCGGCATCCAAGACCTCGACGCCACCTCACCCGCCACCCACCGCTACCCCAGCCAAAGAGACGAGTGGAAAGGCCCCGCCTTTAGCACCCCTGAGCTGCCCCAACGCCGACACCTAATAGGCCGGCCAAAATTGGCCTCCATCGGCCCGTCCTGCTGCCAGGCGCGAGACAAGCTCGGTCCTACAGTCGGGCATGAGACAAGTCCGGTCCTACTGCCCGGCGCGAGACAAGCATGGTCCTGCTGCCGGGCGCGAGACGAGCACGGTCCTGCTGCCGGGCGCGAGACGAACACGGTCCTGCTACCGGGCGCGAGACGAGCTCGGTCCTGCTGCCGGGCGCGAGACGAGCGATGTACCGCGACTGGGAGATGGCCAACTCTTCGATGAAGATAGCGCCGGAATGACGAGGAGAGGAATCGAAGATCGACAAGGGCGCTCACAGACGGGCCGACACCGAAGAAGTCCAATTGCCGCCGTGAAACGACTCAGACCACCACCATGAGCCACCACCACGCCGTGGCAGCCCACATCCACGTCGGGACCCCGAGGGACAGCCCCGAACCGCCCGTCGGCAGCCATGGGCCAGATCCGAGCTGATCTGACCGGCAACACCGCCTCCCGCTGCAGCTGCGACGCGCCACCGAGGTCCATGGCCATAGCCCCGACCTTATCAGGCCGCAACCCGCCCCCGCGCCGGCCCCAGGCCAGGCCACGCCTACCACCTAGCCACCCCGACGGAAGCTCAGATCCGCCGAAGAAATCGCGCCGCCCCCCGCATCACCTCCAAAGAAGCAACACCCAGAGAGCACGCCGGCCCCCACATCGCCCAGCAGCCCTCCACGCCGCCTCCGCCAGCCTCCCAAGTCGTCTAAGAGACCGCCGGTGCCGCGCCGCAGCGCCCTGCCCAACGCCGCGCCACCGCACGAGGGGGCTGCCCCGCAACGACCCTGCCTCGCAGGAGGGGAGGCCAGGGCCCTGCCGCCGCCGCATCCGGCCGGGCTTTGCCCGGCGGCGTGCCCTGGCGACGGCGAGGAGGAGAGGAAGGGAGGGAGAAGTCTTTACAAACACATCTTACAGAAAAAAGAAAACTACATCCAGTTTCTTAGGGGTTCTGAAATCTTCTGCCTCCTGCATCCACCACGAGCACGCCATGAGCAAAAATGGATGGTGCCTCCGGGCCTCCGCCTTGATGGAGCAAACTTGTTTAAACTCTGGAGCTTAGATTTTTTTTTCTTGAAAACTACTGTAACAATACCATGGCTATGTCCAAACCGATACGACCATCTCCAGATCTATGTACCTATAAACATTATCTGGATTTTCATACTTCGGCATTGACAAAAAAATGCGCACATACATATAGCGAGGCCACATAAAATGCACGCGCAGAAACTGATGCCTGCCTATCGGGGAAACATACACATGCATGGTATATGGTTCACAAATCATGCCACCACCCAGGGGAGAAACAGTAGACATACACCGCACATGCATCAAGTGAGCAAGGTCGGCAGGGTGCCGGAGAACTCCTGCCACCCGCTCCCACTAACGGAGCGGCAAAGGTGGTGAGTGGCGACTCTACGAGCCATGCGACTTCGACATTCCTTTCTCCGAGACGTTCCTCGAGCATGTGGACGAGGACGGCACAGCTCCATCCAAGCTTACAGGTCAACACCGTGACGCCGATTGTGCGTGCACGTCTGAAAAAGGCAGCACGCAGGTAGCAGAGAGCGAGAGCAGCTATCCATCTGGATTCGGGAGTATATCTGATGGCATGCATGATCACACAAGGTTGGAGCGGCCTGATTGGCACAGCAGCTCAGTGCGCTCCCCAGCTGATCACTGGATGTCGACTAGATTAGAGTTTAGTTTAACGAGCTAAGCTTGGGACTGGTTGGAGGCCATGATTGACGAAAACATTTCCGAGGATCTATCTGTGAGATTGATTGGAAAGGTTTGCACCACCGAGATATGCTGCCAGGACTAATTAAGTTGTATGTGGACGCGCTTTGGTGGTCTGACATGTCATTTCTGGATTGGGTGATCTGATTGTGGTAGACTGCCACCTCATTCTGACTTGTCATTGGGCTAGTGGAGAGCGAATGAGCCTCAGCAGAATGCTAGCCCACACGCAAGCACCAACAATGCCATGTCATCCAATGATTAGCTAAGCATTGGATTCACGGAGCATAAGATTGATCAAGTCAACACTAATCACTAGCGCCGTAGCGCCATTTCTGCATTGGTTTATTTAGTCACAATTACATGTCGTCCAAGAGCTGAGAAGCACATGTGCCAAAACTAATTAATTTGTTTGTGTTCTCACAAGAAAAAGAAAAATACTCCCTTCGATCCATATTAATTGTCGCTGATTTAGCACAACTTTGTACTAAATGGATCAGAGTAAGATGTTTCCGGGAGGGCTTTGGTGGTCCGACATGTCATTACTGGATTGGTTGATCTGACTATCGTAGACTGGCACCTCGTTCTAACTTGTCATTACCTCATTGGACTACTGGAGAGCAGATGGTTCATAACACACACACATGCATGTACAATGCCTACTAAGGGCATCTACAATGGTGACTCGCAAATTTCCTTCCGCGTCTATCCACGGATAAGGGGGCCAATCCGCGGACACGAATGCGGGAAGCCGCCATCCAACGATATCCTATATATATCCGTCAGTAAATCCAAATCAAATGTAGTTCGATCCACAAAGCGCGCCGAATCGCATGTCGGATCACAACCAAAAAGAGGCAAGTGTGCTTAGTTTTTACATGCCTGAATCCAAAACAACATCAGTCGGCAGTCCGTGTATTTCTGCCTTGCCGGACCGGCAATCCCACCCGTCTGCTCCCCGATCAAGGTGGTGCCGTCACCGCAGTGTAGGCAGCCTCCGCCTCCGTATTTGCATACGCCTCCGTGTCGTCCTCGCCGTCCGCCGCCGCTAACAGATCTTTCTGCTACTGCAACATCTGGTAGCGAACGGGTACACAACGATCCTTGCGTCGGCATCCAAAGAGTCCACATTCAAATGCCCGCAATACTTGGACACGGTCTCTTGGATGGTGTACCATCGATGATTGAGGGACTTCCATTCACGGC